ATGAAGTCCCCAAAAACATGCTTCAGAAACAACCAGGGGAACCACCAAAATGTGCATGTACAGATGTTCATTATAGTTTTATTGTTAAATGATGAATGCTATGTGATCTGAATCTTCCTCTRATTTCTRTTGACATACTGTCCTTGGGCTGTTTTCCTGAAGAATGGTAGGATTGAGGAAATGTTTCCAGAGTGGGGAGAAATAGCATCATTGGGAAAGGAGAGGGAAGAAGGCAACTCAAGGTTATTGGAGTAACAAAGATGTGGTCTTACTGAGGAAACAAAGACCAGCAAGATGTGCCAGGATGCTAGATGAGGCCAGGCCGCTTCTGTTCTTAGAAACAAACACATCCACCCCGTAGAAGAAAGATATCGTTCATGACTTCTTTCTCTGATTACCTAGTTTTATAAGCCCTCCTCAAATAATTGAAAAAACATTCTTGTTCTTGTCCAAACAGGGACCCTGTTTGGTCCAGTATCCCACACACAGGTTCCTAACACTCAATCACCTTTGTTCTTGCCTTGTTTTTAGTCAACTAAACAAGTACCCTTGAGCTGCTGGGTGTGCCATTTGCCTGTAAAATGAGCAGGTGGGAAACATTAATTCTTGCAGTGGAGAAGAAACCTGAGGCACAGCTGCAGCCACCTGTCACTGAGGGGCAGAGTTAGGTTGTCCCTTCTACTGTGATGTCGAGCCACTGCTGTAAGTCAGCACCTGCCCTGTAACCTAGTTAAATAAATCTTTGTACACTATTAGATGATTTTTTTCCCCACAAACATCTTTGAGTCCTACATTGACAGGTGTGCCTGTAATCCATTGAACATACTCTCAGCATTCCTGCATCCTTGTAAAAAATCGGAGATACAGGAGTGACTGTATTCAGAGCAGAACTGACCTGTCAGTCTGTCTGGGGTGACCTCCCCTGCCTCCTGGGGAGCTACCTTTCTCTGGTTTGTGGAGGTGTGACAAACTGACAGGCTGGTGTGGGCAGCCTTCCCAAGACCTTATTAGGTCTGTGACTCTTCTGCTTCTGATCCCATGACGTTCGGACCATCTTTGAGTAGGTTGCAAAAGGTCATTGACAGGACAAAACACAAAGAACTTTTTTAAGGTAGATCAACAGTGTTCACCAGTCTGCAGTTTTTTCTTTGTGCTTCTCACAGTGTCCTGCCCCAGCGGGCACTCCCTGAAGACCAGCTTCAGCTCACAGACCTGCCCGCTGCCATCATGGGAAGTGAAAGGTGCCCGAGTGTCGGGTTGTTTGGTTAGACACCCACTTGCATACTTAAGGTTTTACATATTCCTACTGTTTTTATTTTGTCTTTCACCAATTTTTTCTTGTGTGGAGTTAATACTGACTAGGAAGGATAGAAGTTATAAAGATGAAGATGACGATGATTAGAAAACTGTAAGAAGCAATCTATCCATGACATGAGAAACAGACCTTCTGTTTGTGTGTTCATTATAGTTTTATTGTTAAATGATGAGTGCTATGTGATCTGAATCTTCCTCTGATTTCTGTTGACATACTGTCCTTGGGCTGTTTTCCTGAAGAATGGTAGGATTGAGGCAATGTTTCCCAGGTGTGATGTTGATGTCTTCTGCCTCCAGCTTCTGCTTGTGGGGTCCTGGATAGTGGGATCACACAGCAGAAGGCTCTTGATGGCAAAGGGCTGTGTCTGTACACTCTTTCTCCTGAGTCCACAATGTTTTTAGAATTAGTATGCACCTTTCCTCCTAAAAGTCCAAGGGAGTTTCAGGTTTTATCTTTATTCTCTCAACTACTCTAGGCAGGACAAAATTTCCTTGTTTTATGGATAAATGGAGTTTCAGGTGAAATCAGTCATTTGCTCAGGGTTCTTCACAGCCTGTCTATGCAAGTGGCCAGGGCTCCGAGTCCTTCAGTTGGCAGGCCTGTGTGCTCACCTCTGCACTACCCCCACGTGGCTGTGTCTGTCCGAGTGCCTCTGTGTCCTCCTCGCTCTCTGCTGCTGTGCAGCAGCCTCTCAAGAGCCCTCGGATGGTACCTGTCTGCTGCAGGCAAACTGAAACCGTGATCACGCATCCTTCATGGTGGGGTTGTGCCCCCTCTTCCTCTGGGTGGCTGGCCACCTTCCCTCTTAACATGCGCTGGCTACAGCCATACCAAGCCACTTGTAGTCTTTGGATGTCGCCTGTTCCCTCCCACAGTGTGCCCTCTGGCACTCTTCTCTTCTTGCCCCTGTCCTGCAGCCTCAGCTTGTACTTTCCTTTGACATATCYGTGGAAACTAGCTGTTCCTGGAAGCTTTTCTGATTCTACCCCGTTCCCCCGGGGAAGGCATGGTGGTGTCTTTGCTGGGGGACTGAGGTTTTCCTGGTCCGGCATCCCAGGTGTGATAATGATGTCTTCTGTCTCCAGCTAACCAGTCAGCAAATACTCATTTGCTAAAGAAGAGCCAAATCTTATTTCTCCTGGTCCTCACTGAAAGGTCCACTCTGAGACAACAGTAAGTCCTGGATGGATAATAATGTCCATACTACTCAAGAGACTGTTCCAGCCACTGCCCTGGGAACCCTACATGTAGTCACTCAAAAAACTTCCAACAGTTCTTTTGTGGATGGTGAAATTGAGGCACAGAGCACTTATACGACTTGCCTAAAGACAAAGCTGTTAAGTGTCAGGGTTCAAACTCAGGCTCTTTGACTCCATTAATCACATTTGGTATGTTTTATCCCTAGTTCCTGTTTCCAGCATGTTCTGATGTGGGTGGGAAGCAAGTAAACAGGAAGGAATCTCAAAACTGTAATATACCAACTCATTTCTGTCTGAACTAGAGAGACAAGGGCTGGGAGAAGGAGGGAGTTAGGTGGATTTAAATGAAGGAGTTTGTTAATTTGTAATATGTTTTAAAGTAAACATTGTATAAATGCATTTAGATTTTACTATTTTAATCAATATTTTAATAATAATTTGGACTGAAATTTCAATTGAAAACAGGTGGTGAAGACCCAGCATAGCATGTATCTATTAATTTATTTTTACACCTGCTTTTAAGGTTTTTGCAAAATACTTGTTATTCTTTCTTTGGGGCTTCCAAAATACCACAAATTCTCTTACCTCTTCAGTCTGCAGAGGTTTTCTCATGCATTATCTCACTTTGTATGGATGCCCAGTATTTTACAGACTTCTTGGGAAACTGATGGACTATGCAGACTGGAGGACAGTGCTTGTCCTCAGCACATGCCACCCTCTGGAGTCACCCACTCCAGCAGGCCTTAACCTTGGCAGAGAAGAAGGCCCCCCTGATGGACTCCTTTATTAGGGCCCAGCTCCCTTTTAGATGCAGATGTTTCAAGGATGATGACTACAGCACACATTTTAATCCCACACATCTTCATCCCATACATAACTGCTGCAAAGGAGCAGTTGATATCTAGTAAATGCCTAAAATACATGCACGAAGCCCTGTAGTTGCCCAAATTGGCATTTATTCTGTGGAATGACAGATAATAGTACTAATAAACTCTTAGAAGCCTACTGAAAGTGACTTTTAAAAGGAATCATCTCCACAGCCAGCCCCATAACCTCTGAGCATGTGAGTGAGGCTCTTTATGGGGCCAGTACTCTCGTGGCTTTAGGTTCAAAAAGTAAAATTAACCCCCAGAAACAAAAAGTGCTCTCAAATTCCAGAAAGCATGGTTAGATATATAATTTCCCATAGACTCAAAATCATTATGCAAAATATTCCATAGAATCTTCATGTAAATTCAAGAAAATAATTTTCACAGAAATAATAGGGCAAGGAAATTTTGCCTTTTGGATTCATCCTTTGGCAGTTTAATAGGTGTGGGGGAAATTGCAGACATTGTTTTCACACTATGAGAGACAGTATTAGACTAATGTGGCAGAAATCTTACTCCCCATTTTACAAACGAAGCAACTGAAGCCAGAGACATTAAGCAACTTGTATCGGGCTTTGGGCTATAAATAACAGAGCCCAAGTTTGGATCTGATCCTAGAGCCACTGCTCTTAACCATTACGCTATATTTTGCTCAGATTAACACCAGACAGACAGACAACCCACCGCCAAGAACAAGGAAAACAACAAAAAACCCACACCCTTCTTGAAAGGAAGTCTCTTCATGATTTATATTTTGCCAGTTTTTGTTTTACATCCACTCTCAACATGGACATAAATATTGGCAAATCACTATATATCATTGTTTTGTGATTTTTTTTAAAGGCAAGAAGTTCTAGGAAAAAATATGAAACAGGTTTATACTGATCATAAAATAATACATACCAGACAACATAGATGTTATTTTTTGCATCTATTTAATTAAAGTTTATCTTTAGAACTAAAATGCCCATGCTCACAGATGGATAGTAGAGCCCAGACTGTTGTTACTCCTTGCTGGTAAATTGGTAAAATGTTTTTGTAAACCAAAAATAATTATTTTGTATCTAAAGCTTTAGAAAATATACTTTTTGCTCCAGGAATTCTACTACTGGGATTTTGTCCTGAGAAAAATTTTAAATATAAAAAAGACTTATATACATAGATATGTGTTCACATAGTAAAACATAATGATTTTTACTTTAAATTATGCCGAATGGCTAGTTATATTGTATGTAAAATGCATTCAAATTCAATAACACTCCACTTTAAATAACTTTGTTTCTTTCCTTTCATGTTTATATATCCTGGAAAATTGACATTGTTTGCAGATTTACCCTTGATACTGTTTTTTGGTCATCTGAAATTCATGCAGAAGCATACAGAATAAGCCCTGTTTTTTGGCAGTGATATTTCTGGCATGACCCATTCATTGCTTTCACCTCACTTAATAATAGCTAATTAGAACTGCTAGTAACCATACAATCTAAACTATATTAATAACATGATTTTTGTTAGTAATGCTTATAGCTATTTAATAGATTCTTTTCCTTTACCTTTTATCCAAAACATAGATTTTTGCTYTTTTTTTTTTAATCTTAAGAGCATTTGTTGCCTTACCTGTCAGTGGCTTGCCTGGGCCCAGGGTAGCAGCAGCGGGTGTTGGCTCAGACTAAAATCAGCTAAGCCTGGCATGTTGCTTTAAGAGAGACTGGCCACACCTCCTTTTATGGCCCTGCCTTTCTTCCTGTCCCCCTGTGATTGAGAGTAGAGATGATCAGTTAGTCTCACGTATGCGTGTACACTTTTTTAAAAAATGGGAAGTGAAATTTTTCTGAACTCTTAAAAAAAATTATCCAAAAGCCCCTTGGAATTTATGAACTATTGATATCTATGGAACTTTATAAATTTTTCCATAAAGATTTAAGTATCAGAAAAAAAAATCTTTGAAGTAGTAAACCTTAAGCAAAAAATCATCATTATCATCATCATCCTAGTTACTGAGGTTTTCTATTGATATTCTGTGTATAAGTGTGGGTTTTTAAATGTTTTAAGGAAAAAAGTCAGCGTTATCTACCTGGAAACTTGGTAGTTTACTTAGTCTAAATCTTATCAGCTTATGACAAAGAAGCAGGTTTCTGTGGTGAGTGGGGGAAAGAGTCTCCTCCTTAGACTGGGCTAGTGGAGGTTTTGGGGCCAAAGGCCGACTGACTGAATCAGTAACTGCGACACTTAAGTGGCAAGGAGGGGTTGAAGCCGCACATCTACATTGAATCCAACCCAGTCTTGTGTGCAGGACAAAAAGACCTGTGCTGCTAATTTTAGAGGGTTTGACTGCTGCCGTTGTTGACTCCGTCTAACCAGTAATTGAGGTGGTGTTCACCCTTGCCTAGGTTCACCTGGCCATTCCCAGCCAGATCTGGGYCTGCAGTTAGGAAGGCAGAGATCACTCCTGTGGTGCCTGGGGTTCTGAGAGGCCTGGATCCCTGGTCTGAGGAGAACTGGTGGAGTAAGCTGAGAAGGGTTAGGCTTTGCAGGGGTATGATAATCATCCTTATGTATTTGGAAACTGTGTCATAGAAAGGAGGTCAGATTGCTTTTGTCTGTGTTCCTAACTCCAGAGAGTAGAAGGAGGACCAGCATGAGAAAGAGGCCTTTTTCCTCCAGGATTCTGTAAAACTGGCGTGTGGCCATAGCTTCTCTGTGGTGTCATTAAATCCTCATAAACTCTTCAATGCTGAGGATCTGAAGAGCATTGTTGACAAACAGAAGAGTGAGCAACACATGAGCTGAATTCTTTGAATTTATKTTGGTTCTGTAAAATAAAGCTATGGAACGAAGTGATCTCCAAGACTATTCCTTGGGGGAGTGCAGCAATTTTATGACTCTGTGGACATGGCAGAGTAATCTAGAACTAGTTCATTTAAAAAATGTGGACTGAAGACTGGAATGTAGCTCAGTGCAGAGCACTTGCCTAGCACTCGTGCGGTCCCACATCCTATCGCCAGCACCACCAGAAACAAAATCATGGATTGGCAATGTTGAGAAATTTGTCAATTTTTGGAAGGTCATTCTGTTGAGACTTTTTGGCTTATAATTTTGGAAATATTTATAATTGTTAAATAAAACATTGTTATATAATGAAAGCATCAACTAGCATCAAGTAGCTCCTTTAACAAAGCAGATTCATCCTTTAGTTGGTTATTGGCATAGTCGATTGTTTAAAGAAGAGGTGGTATCCTGCGATGCTGTTGAAGTTTCTCGTGAGATAATTTTCTGGGCTCACAGACCTTCTTTCTGTTGTTGAAAGTTACCAGGGTTTCTGTAGCTGTGATTGGACTATATACATTGAGTCGATGTCCCTTCTGTAGGAGAGGAGAGATGGACATTTGTGATCTTTCTTTCTTTCTTTCTTTCTTTCTTTCTTTCTTTCTTTCTTTCTTTCTTTCTTTCTTTCTGTTGTAGTTGGACACAATACCTTTATTTTATTTATTTTTATGTGGTGCTGAGGATCGAACCCAGGCCCTTGCACATGCTAGGCAAGCACTCTAGCACTGAGCCACAACCCTAGCCTGACATTTGTGATCTTAACTGTTTCCTTTATATGTTCTGTTGAGTACAGTCGTGAGCACATAGTGGGCACTCAGTAAATGTTAGTGGTCATAGTTAAAGGGATGAGGGAATTCTTTATAACCTGATTTCCTTTTTATTTTTGTACCTCTGACCTCACATGCTTAAGATCAGGCTTCTGGCACTTAGCTGTTTACTGTATGAAAAAGGTCAAGTTGAACCATTGTTGCAAGGATAAAGACCAGATGTTGCCATAAAATAAGGAAAAGAGAAAAACTGGTCAGTGACTAATAACATTATGGTATTTTGTGAAGTTGTGTGTATAGAAATAGCAGTGGAATTTTTTTACAAAACAACCCACATRATCCTGATCTAAAATATGTGTTTCTGTAGTGTGTGTACATGTGGTCTAGTATTTAGTCATCATTTAAAATTATAATGATTAATAAATTTTAAGGAATTTTAAACTTCTTCTATTGGCATATAAGTTATAAACTGTGGTCATTAAAATTCCTATCATTGTCTTCTGTTTATGTTGAAATGTAACTCAAGAATTCTGCTTCAGGTTGTTTAATTATAGCATCCCTTTTCATGCTTAATGACTAGATGTAAATGGAAGAACTTCTATGAATTGAGTACCTCAGGGGATGTGTCCTGTTAGGGGAGAGGGTCTAGTGCAGTTGGCTGACCACAGTGGGATTTTATTGTTACTGAGAGACCACCCAGCCATATTGAGCATGTATGTGAAACATGTACTTTCATCCCATTTAAAATGTTAAATAAGGAAAGAAACTTTAAAAAAAATATTTTTAGGTGTAGATGGACACAACTATCTTTATTTTATTCATTTATTTTTCCTGAGGTGCTGAGGATTGAACCCTGCACCTCATGCGTGTGAGGCAAGCACTCTACCACTGAGCTACAACCCTAGCCCCAGAAAGGGACTTTTTAAAACAAAAAGCAGATTCTGCTAGATGGTTGCATTGTTTAAAGAAAAATGTATTTGTTCCGCAAGTGTCCATGGAGCACCTCTTCTGTAAGGACGGTGTCTGGTAGAGAGGATAAAGSAGCAAACGGAACAGACATTGTGGAGCTTTCATTCCAGATGGAGAGATGATAAACCCATGAGTTGTACAGTAGAGTACAAAGTGACGTGGCTTGGGGACAGTTGGTCAGTGAAAGAAACAGCAAGCAGGGCTGTGAGTTGTGCAGATGGTGGGGGGTCAAGGAGGGCTGCTCAGAGAAGGTGCTGTTCTTTTTCTTCATTCTTTTTTTTAATGCATGAAATTAGAATGTATTTTGACATTTTACATATATGGAATACAACTTCCCGTTCTTCTGGTTGTACATGATATGAAATTACATTGGTAATGTATTCATATGTAAACATATATGAACATAGGAAAGTAGATCTAATTTATTCTACTAACTTTCCTATTCCCAATGCCATCCCTTCCCTTCATTCCCCTTTGTCTAATCCAAAGTATTTTTCTCTACCCACCTCCCACTTATTGTGAGTAAGCATCCACATATCAGAGAGAACATTCGACCTTTGTTTTTTTGGGATTGGCTTATTTCACTTAGCATGACAGTCTCCGGTACCATCCAGTTGCTGGCAAATGCCATAATTTCATTTCTATTTATGGCCCAGTAATATTCCATTATGTATACACACATTTTCTTTATCCATTCATCTGTTGAAGGGCACCTAGCCTGGTTCCCTAGTTCAGCTATTGTGAATTGAGCTGCTGTAAATATTGATGTGGCGGCATCACTATAATATGTTGATTTCAAGTCTATTGGGCATGTACCAAAGAGGGAGATAACTGGGTCAAATGGTGGTTCCATTCCATTTTTCTTAGGAATCTCCATACTGCTTTCCAGAGTAGTTGCACCAATTTGCAGCCCCACCAGCAATATATAAGTGTTCCTTTTCTCTACATCCTCACCAACATTTATTGTTACTTGTATTCTTGATAATTGCCATTTAGTCTGGAGTGAGGTGGAATCTCAGTGTAGTCTTTTTTTTTAGTTATAGATGGACATAATATCTTTATTTTATTTGTTTATTTTTATGTGGTGCTAGGGATCAAACCCAGTGTCTCACACATGCTAGGCAAGCACTCTACCACTGAGTCACAACCCTGGCCCCTCAGTGTAGTTTTAATTTGCATTTGGCCTTTTCTCTGAGTTGGGGAGTCCTTAGAGTAAATCCAGACCAGGAATGAATAACTTATACTTTTCCATAAAAGGAAAACAACTGCTAATCAATTATGTTTGGGCTTAGGATTGCACAAAACCAGTTCTTTAGTGTAATGCTTAGAAATTGCTTTGTTAATTTTAATTTTTTAATCCAACAAAACCGAAGTTGACTGTGTATAAAAATCTGCATTAGGCACTTTGGAAATGCAAAGTTAAGTAAATTACAGTGGGGTTTGGGGGTTGTTGTTTGTTTTCAGAATTAAGCTATTGGGAGATTGTCGAGACCTCTAYATAGTTCATTAAAATGTGGGCCATACAGGTGTTCCAAGAGTAAGGATTATTTTGGTTTCCCCAATTTAACAAACTCCTAAGCCGCCCCAAGCCCAGTACTGATGCTGGGAGGACTAGCAGGCCTCCATCCCCTCCTGCCTGCAGCCCTGCATGCTCAGTCTGGGGAGTGTAGGCTAGTGAGGAACCCACACTGAACAGGTGGGTGTTCGCCCTGCCTGCTGTGCACTCACCTTGGCTTCCTTCCCATCCCCTCACAGCTCACTAGCTCTGCATCCAATCTTGTCACACTGCCTATGCTAAGTGTCTCCTGCCTGGGTTTTCCTTATTCCAGCTTTTGCTACACTTTCCTACATATCTGTTGATACTGCTGCCAATTACCAGTTTTGTAGAGTGTGTGTGTGTGTGTGCGCGTGCGTGCGTGTGTGTGCGCGCACGCGCGCGGGCTCACATAGTAGGATTGAGAGGATGCTGGATGATTTTTATAACATGGTCTCCATCAGAGATGAGAAAATGTACAAGAGGCCAAGATGGTCCTGTGTTTCCTAAAAATACTAGTGAGGACATTTCTTTGTAGACATGAAAATTAGTTCTTGCATTTTCTTACAGTAATGAAATGATTCTTTTTTAATTTTTATTTGTTTATTTTTTTGTACTGGGGATTGAACCCAGGGATGCCTAACAACTGACCCACATCCCCAGTCATTTTTTATATTTTATTTAGATACAAAGTCTCGCTGAGTGACTAAGTGTCTCACTAATTTGCTGAGGCTGGCTTTGAACTCTTGATCCTCTTGCCTCAGTCTCCTAAATTGCTGGGATTGCAGGCATGTGCCACTGTGCCCAGCAGTAACGAAATAATAATTCTTTATACTGATGCCATTCCTAAAAAAAAAAAAAAAAGGTAAATAATGAGAGAGCAGTTAAGCCAGCTGTTTAAAGAAAAATGGTTACAGAGGTGTGCCCAAACCACACTGTTCCTCTTACCCACCCAGCTGTAGTAGGAGTGTGAGTTTGCCATCCTGGAATGAGTCCTTGAAGGTTGGGACTGCTTTTTGCTCAGAGATGGAGATGTAGCCCTTGTGCCCAGCAGTAACGAAATAATAATTCTTTATTCCTAAAAAAAAAAAAAAAAAAAAAAAAAAAGGTAAATAATGAGAGAGCAGTTAAGCCAGCTGTTTAAAGAAAAATGGTTACAGAGGTGTGCCCAAACCACACTGTTCCTCTTACCCACCCAGCTGTAGTAGGAGTGTGAGTTTGCCATCCTGGAATGAGTCCTTGAAGGTTGGGACTGCTTTTTGCTCAGAGATGGAGATGTAGCCCTTGTGCTGGGCATCCTGCCTTGGCATAGTCAGTGCCCAACTGAGTCACCAAAACACTGACACTGACATGGTTGGGGGGTTGGAGGGGAGAAGAAAGCTATTAATTCCAGGAAAAATCAGATAAATTTTCTAAGACTTGAACAGTGCCATACAAGGTGAGTTTCCTAAGCAGCAAAGTGGAAAGGAGTGTTCAGGTTCAAARAATAACCTGTGTCAGTATATAGTGAAAGGAGCATGAGGTGTCCAGGGGGAGCCGTGTGCCTGTGTGCATGGAAGGGAGGGAGAGAGCATACTTTGCATGTGACTGGCCTGATGCGTGGAAGAGCAAGGGGGACAGCTACRGGAAACTACAGTGATAAGAAAGGATTGCAGATTGAGCTGGGGCTGTGCTCAGTGGTAGAGGGCTTGCCTAGCATGTGCCAGGCCTGGGTTCAATCCCCCAGGCAGGGGCAGGGGAGATAGGTGCAGGTCTTTGCTGTTTCATGGTAGTTAAGCTTTGGATGCTGGGAGCCTGTGGAAGGAAGGGTCTTAAGCATTGGAGTAATGTGATTGGATACCTGTTTTCTAGCACAGGGCCTAGAACCAAGCAGGGAAAACCTCTTGTTCTAGGAAGGTACTGTTAGCAGTATTGAGAGATGGGTTAGAGAGAAGCAAAAGGAGAGGGACACATGTGACTTCTGAATATGTCAAGTTGACAGTATCGAGTTGAGTTTTAGAGCCAKGGTAGAGGGCAGGCAGGCAGCATGAGTGCTTGCTCATTTTCTTAGTTGAAGCCGTAGAAGGAGTTGCTTGTTCAGGGAGAGACTAGAATAAGGAAAGACTCTCACKAGAGGTGGCAGAGTGGTGTGAGAAGTCATCCCTGGGATCAGTAAGAAACACCCCTAAGATGCAAAGAGGAGGGAGTATGAGGAAGGGAGGGTGGCAGTAAGTAGCACTTGGGGCTGTGGTGACAGATCACTGGTCAAAGGCTAAGATGAAGCTTTTGGGTCTGACCAGGAGGATTTCTAAAGTCCATTGCCTTTGGTTTATGTAGTCTCTTTCATTTGATTTTTAAGTCATTCATGGGAAGAAAACAGCATCCACTTTAAATTTCTCACATGCTTCACATTTAATCAACAGATGCTGATCCACGATCCACTTCCTCAAGGGGGTTTGGCAAGTGTCAATGAAATAGGACAATTAAGTTTTCATAAAGTGTTGTTTATAACTGCAAATTATTTCATATATGGTCTGTGTTTGAAAACCAACTTGTGCATTTAAGACCTTGCTTTTAGACTGAGATCAGTTATAAGCAGTGTTACTTCAAATATCCATCTGCTATTGATATTTTAAATTCAACTTTATACTATAGTGATTTTTCTCTGTTTGTTTGCATAGCTTGGCACCTGTGTTTGCTCTATTTGTACCATTTTACTGCTCCATACCAAGAGTCCAAGTGGCACAAATTCTGGGCCCGTTGTCCATCACAAACAAGACATTGATTTATATATTGGGACTACAGGTACAGTATGCATTTTATGTTCACATTTCTTTAACCAAATCTTTTTTTTTTT